GGACCTAGAAAGCGGGGTGGGTCTCCTGGGGTGGAGGATAGGCCACAGGCTGCATGCACACAGGACAGGGTGTGACGAGACAGAGGGCCATGTTCAAAAAGAGGGAAAGAGAGACAGAGCTAGAGGAGCCGGATGGAGAGAGACAAGCGGAGAGCCTGAGATTGAAAGAGAAAAGACGGGCAGAGAGGCCAGAGCCCAGCTAGCATCGTGTTCCTGTCCTTGCACAGGGAGTGGACTTGTGCTCCGTGCTCTGTTGAGAGGTCCGGGTGTGGGACCCCCATGAGCTTGCGAGAGGTGCCCCGCTGTGTGTATTAGCACTGAATACAGGCACTGCATCGTGAGGGGCTGCCCTTGCCCCAAGCAGGGGCCCGAGGCCCCGCACCGCAGGGCTGCTGACAGCAGTGTCACCATGCACTGTGGAGGGAGGCAGGCAGAGTGTCAGAGTCTCAGCCTATGTGGGGGTGGCAGTGCGGGGGCGGAGGGCTGCGGCATGCACCAGAACATGTGCCTGCCGCTCTGCTGGCTCAGAGGGAGCGCGAGGAAGGCCGTCCTCCCTCCTATCCCTGCACTGTCGCCCTGTGCTTCCTAATTTCCCGTCCTTTGGACTCCGTCCCCACATAGTTTTGCCGCCTAGCCCTGATCCTGCCTCTGTCTCTCACTGTGACCTTGGAGGAATCGCTTCCCTCTGGGCACTGCTCCCATGTGTGCAGTGAACAGACTTCTCAGCGCTCCTCCTAGTCCTGAAGGTCTGGGAGTCCGAGATTCCCGTGGACCCTTCCACAGAGGGAAGCTGCCGAGGCCAGCACCCCTAATGGGGCACCTCAGGCATCTCCAGAGACGGGATCTCTGTTTTACAGAGGGTAAAGTTGAGGCATCCAATAGACAGGTGATTCACCCAGAGTGTCCCAGTAAACACAAGGCAGAAGCATGATCAGAAAGTAACAGCTCGGGAGCAAGAAGCGGGGTGTTCCCCAGGCACAGCACCCAGAGAGCCCCTTCAGAAACCTTCCCACTCCACTCTGGGTGCCCGAGACCTAGACGCCTTCCCACGAGCCACGCCTCTACCTCTCCACCCAGCTGGCCTCCCTCTAAGCCTGGCTAATGGCTGGGGCAATACCTGCCCAGAGTGCTGTAGATGGAGAGGTAACGAAGGAAAGAGGCTGTCACCCAGCTGGGGGGGGCTGGTACGCTGGTGTTGTCTCCCTCCACAGTGACACTGCCTATTCTCCTGACAGCTCTGCCAGGGAAGGGTGGCACGGCTAAGCGTCTTCTGTAAGTGTGAGATCTTCAGTCCAAGAGACAACCCTGGCCCCCAGCCTCTGGGCCACCTTGCAGCCTGCTGAGCAGCACAAGGCTGTGGGGTCTGAGGGGACTCAGCTAGGACCCAGCCCTCTCCTCCCTCTGCCAGCCTTGCTGGCCACCCACACCCACCCCACCCCACTCCTGGCACCACCTGAATCAATTTCAGATTCCTGTTTCTGGAGAGAAAAGACTGGGTTTGAGCACTCTTCCCTCCTTCTTCATTTCTCAAGTGAAATCTCTTTCAGAGGCTCTTTCTGTACAGCCCAGTGATCACCCAGGCTTCAGGGTGATTCTCTGCCTCTCTCACCTCTGCCTCCAGGGTGGAATGCAAGCCCGGGAACCTCAAAGTCCTGCTCCTGCTCCTCCACCTCCCCCGCCTGGTCTTTCCCTGGGCCCTCTGCGCTTTCCGTGCACCTCCACCTGTCACTCTATCACGTCTGCCTTTCTCAGAGATTCTGGACTCCGGAGAAGGCTAAGCACCCTACGAGCTCTGGCCTCTCCCGGAGCGGGTGCCAAGCTAGTTTCTGTGCTCATAGGTGTCATCCCAGGGTGGGAGAAGGATGCGGACAAGGAGCAGAGGAGGGAGCTCGGCTTGGGTCTAGAAGAGACAGTCCTACCTACCCCTGGAGGGACTGCAGTCAAGTTCTCAGCTGTCCTGGACTCATCCGTTTCACTGGGGGCCTCAGTCTGGCGGCCTCTGAAAGCTCCAGAAACCCCGACTGAGGGCCCAGATGGCACGGGCAGCTCGGACACCCATGGCCAGTTCTCTGAACTTCTTGAAAGCCCGCAGTGACAAGCCAGGCCTCACCAGGCAGGGCCCGAGGAAGCTCAGCAGAGGCATTTGGCCTCCTCCCCGGCTGGGTGGCCCAGGATCCTGCTAAGAGGCCCAAAGGCCCTGGTGTCCCGTTTTAGAGCCAACCTAGCTTCCTCCTGCAGGTGCCTTGTTGGTTATCTGGAGTGGGCTTTAGAAGGGGCTCAGGTTCTGGGCAGCAACTGCAGTACCCCGTGGAGAGGGGCAGGGGGCATCAATGGGTAAGTGGACCCTGCAGATATGCTCATTGCTTTCCCCTATCAGCCAGCCCCAGGGAGCCTTGATCAGGTCCACCACCCTTCCCTGGACAACTCCAGACAAAAGGTAAACATCTTCACAGACAGCCCATCCCCCTGCCTCAGTCCTGCCCAGCCCTTGAGGACAGCAGCTACCACCCCAGCAGCGATGCCTTCTCTGAAGCCCAAGGCACACCAGGCTTGGGACTGTGTCTGCACACACACTATCTCATTTAATCCTCATGGCCCTTGTTGGTCCCCAGGCTGCAGATGGGAGCAGTATGTCACAGACTGCCCAATGCCACAGAACTAAGCGTGTGGCACCACAGCCCCTACCCCACCCCCGGATCCACCGGAGGCTCCAGCAGATACTGGTGTGCAAAGAGGCACTGGCAGCTTCCTCTGTGATGTGCCTCGGCCTTTGTAAAACAGACCTCAGGCAGGCAGCCTGGCCACCTCGGCCCTTTCTCTCCTACACAAGCATCCTTCCCCACAGGCCCTGGCCCTGCCTGCCTGAGGTCCTGCAAGCTCCTGACATTGCACGCAGCATTTTGTAGGTTTGTGCATTTTTCTGGGAAATGTCAGTTTTGACTTTCAACAGAGTCCCGGAGGGATATGTGACCTAAAAAGGTTAAGAAAAATGGTAGTTCTGGAAGGAAGAGGTCTGAAATTGATTAGACAGGGCCTGGTCATGCCTGCCACCCTCAGTTTTCTATCACAGCCACGCCAGGGTTCCCTCTCCCCTGGAATCCTGGCCCTGGCCTGAGCCCTCTGAGAGCCCAAGCAGGCAGAGGGGCTAAGAAGGCTCATAGAGCATCTCTCAGCCAAGTCACCGCACAAAGCCGAGACTTGGTGATGCTCCATCTCTTCTCAGGGCAAAAGAGCACTTTTGTTTTCACTTGGAGCACTTGAATCCCATCCCAACTCCATCTCGCTGTATTCTGTGACACAGCCTCAGTACAGCCCAGCCTGGGTCCTTCCCTGAAAGGCAGCTCCAGGCTAATCAGAGCTCTTGGACTCTGGGTAGACACTGGAAACCAGCCGGAGGGAGGGCCCAGCTAGAGTTTAGGGGGCAGCCTTGTTCTCCAGAACAACCCAAACATTGGGTTCCTGCCCACTCCAGCACAAAGACACTCCAAGAGGCAGGAAGTCAGCACAAGTGCTTATGTGTGCACAGGGAGCTGGCATGTGTCTGTATGTGTCATGGCAGGCTGGGTGTGCAAGAGTGAGTGCGTGTGTGTGCGGGCAACTGTTTATACACAGCCATAAGCCCACTTCCCCCATGTATGCAGACACCAGCACAAGCTCACGCATGCCTGCAACACCCACATACCAACATGAGCCCATGAGCCCAGGCCACACACGCACACACACACACACCTCCCTGTGTGCCTGCCCCCAGTCCTCACACACATGAGCACAGCTAGACTGCACAAGAACACCGTCGTGTCCATATCTCATCGCGCATCCTTGTGCTCCCGAGGCCCCACACACTGTGCCTACTGACTTGCACACGGATCTGACCTGCCATATGTGTGCCCACACCGTGACGCATCCCGACTCCCATGCAACCTAGCCAACAGCACTTCTCGCACACCGACACAGGTGCACCTCCTTGCATTTATACACAAGCACTTCTTCCGGGTGTTCACACACTAGTGTCTACACACTGCTCTGATGCACACGAGCATACCCTAGAGTCCGTCCTTATACAACACAATCAACTCCCTCAAAAGTCCTTAACAGCAACCAACACTAACGCCCTCCTCAGAATGCACACTGCTGCACACACACCCAACCCTCACACACTTGTCTACAGGGCCCCTCTCCCAGCACTCCTGCTGCTCCAGCAGGAGCCAACCAGGGCACTGGTATCCATTCCACCTCCAAACTGCACGTCGGCTCTTGATCCAGCCTGGAATCCCTCAGAAGCCTAGGCGGGGCCATCTAGCAGCCTTCTATCTCCCCACTCTTGCACCTTTCTCCCATCAGTCATCAGAGGTGCAAAGAGAGCTCTGGAGCTGGGCAACTTTATCAAAGGACCGAGCCTCTGCACTCTTCATGCTGGCAGGCCCTGCAGCAGTGGTGTCCCCCAACTTGCTGATCGCCCCTCCCCTCTGCCCAACGGCAGTGGCTCACACAGATGAGCGCACATTAACCCCTCCTGTACCAGTGCCCTTGCTCCTGAGAGGAGCTGGAAAGGGCAGGCGGAAAGGGGATGTGCTCACAGGAAGAAGTTGGCCACTCTGTACAGTGGCTGCAGGCGTCTGAAGTCAGGAAGGGTTACCTGCGAGGTGGAGAACTCTGTCACCGGAGCTAGCTAAGTGAAACTAGAAAGGGATTCCAGCTTGCACCCAGCTGGGTGGGAAAACCCTTCATTTAACACGGGCTTTCCAGGAATCCGTTGTGCACAGGTCATGTGTGCTTGTTGTCCCATCAACCTTACGCACACATACCTGGCTGGCTTGGCACATCGGTACCCACAAACATGCCTTACATCCGACTCCGGGCACGGCAAGCACCCCCAGACTGTGCAGCTTGCCTTCCTCTGTACACGGGAGAGCCGCGGAGAGGCGGGCACATCCCCCGCCCCCCCACCCAGCCAAGAGGCTGACCCCTGCGCCCTCTAGGATTCCCTCAGTGCAACTCACTTGCCCAGTTCCTCGAAGAGCTGGTACTCTTCTGTGAATCGAGTGCAGGTGATGGTGGCCATGCTGGCACTGGGCAGGCAGGCGAGGCTCGGGGTTGGGGGACCAGGATTGAGGCACAGCTGCTCTGCTCCTAGAAGTAGGAGCAACCTGCCTGCCCCTGCTGCCGAGTGCAAACAGAGAACTGGCTTGACTGGCGAGCCTGGGGCTTCTGAGCAGGGCACTGTGGCTGCTCACAGCCTCGCGAGCCTTCGTCAGCATCCAGGTCCCCATGGCAACCACCTCCAAAACGCCCTGTTCCCGTTGCCCCGGTAACTGCCTCCCCAACACCTGCCTGCGTTCCACTGTGAAACCTGCTCCCGGACAGATGCCCTGGCCCTACCGCACACAACACTGCAGACCTACGTGGGCCTGGGTGCAGGTGGACTCAACACCCCCAGAACGAAGGACTGCGGCAGGATGGAGAAGGGGGACAAGAACAAACTTAGTCCACAAGTGATCTTCTCTCTTCCCACCTCCCCCACCTCCAAATGCGGGGCCCTTTAGCAGATGGGATGGGATTAAATGGGGCAAAGAGGCAGTTGCCATGGTAACATCCAGTGGGTGCCACATTCCGGGATGGTCCGCAGGAAGGACAGGATATAGTTACCCTGGCAACTTCATATCCTCTGGAGAGACAGGTATTGCCCCGTTGCCCTGGCAACAGCTGGGTTCTAGGGTTTACAGGGAAGCGATGGCTAATTCATTGGGATCTCTCTCGCTATGCATCCCTGTAGTCTCTGTAACTATCTCTGCTCGCCTCTGTAATTTTGCTTGTCTTGTTTTCTCTCTGCCTCTCTCCTTATTCTGCTCTTGCTCCTCTGCTCTCCTGCTGTCCTGTCCATCACAGCAGCATTCTAGCCTGGCGAAGGAGTGCAGAGGAGACCCCAGAATTCTGGAGGGAGCCTCGCTGGTGGCCTGCACATCCCTACTCTCAGCCGTGATGGCTGGGTCCCTTCTGAGGCCTCTGCTGCAAGCTCCCCTCCACCCTGTGCCCCAGAGGGACCATGGAGATCTGGTCTCCTGGGGCTCGTGGCCCAGTTTCTGCTTGTGCCTCCCAGTCGAGGCAAAACAGGCGAGAGACAGCCACGGTGACTTAACTAGGGCTGGGCCCGTGGTTGTGGACTTGCCCTGCCCCAGAACCTCCATCCCCAAGTTCTGTGGACACTTTTCCTGCCAACTTCAGTTCTTCAGGGCATCAATCCCACCTATGGCCCCAAAACAACTGACTCTAAATGAAGGGCTTGAGAAGGAAAGGAACTGAAATTTAAAGATCAGAGTTTAATTCCAACTCTGGTATTATTAGCTGTGTGACCCTAGGAAAGTCACTGACCCTCTCTGAGCCTCCAGGTTCTTTTGTTTAAAGTAAAATAAAGCCGTCTCCTTGGAGGTAGGCTGAAGACTGAAGACTATAAAGGCTCTTGGGAAAGATACAAACATGAAGCCTTTCAGTTACTAGCAGAGGAAAAGGAAGCTTCATAGCAGGACCCGCACCACTCCCATCCCTGTGACTTGGACTTGGAACCTTGTGTTCTGCACACCTACCCTTTCCACTCAGGGAAAAAAGGGGCCTTAGCTTGTTTCACAGCTTAGAAAGCTGAGGCCTTCAGCCAGCACCCCTCCCCCATGAGCCTGAGGCAGATAAAAGAATCCAGGAACCCCAAAGATCTGGACTTCTAGCTCAGCCCTTCCTCCTGAATCTCCAGATCACCTACGAGGCGCCTCATTTGCTGCATACACTGATGCCTTTTGGTATTTTTCATCCCCAACAAACCCAACTCCCAACCGTAGTCCAGGGGCCTGGGGGGACAGGGTACCCTCCATCTGCCCATCCTCCTGGGAGTCAGGGTGGGGGAGGAGGGTGAGCTCTCTAATTCAGCCACTTTTCCCAGGAGGGAAGAAGGGAGGGAGGCAGAGGGGAAGGAGGGGAGTGGATAATGGCTTAGCCACTAATTGCACCATTACCACCTTCAGAAAAAGGAAAAACCACTCCGTTTTGTTTCTGCACACAATATGCTTCTCGCTTCTGCCGCCAACGTTGCAATTCAAAGGCAGAGAGGAGCCTGCGCTCGGGGGCCGCGCAGCCGGTGGGCAGCGGGCAGGGCACAGAACACCGAGGCCGAGCCACAGGCACCTGCAGGGAGGCGGGGGAAGAGCTGCACTGCCGCCCCCCTGCCCAGACCCTCTAGCCTGTCCCACGGGGGCTGCTTCCACTTGGCCAGGGGAGAGGAGAGGCAGTCTGGCTCGGTCATCAGAGTTCCTGCATGACTTACAGGCTGTGTGATTTGGGAGACGTATCCTAGCTTCTCTGTGCCTCCGTTTCTTCGTGTGTGAAATTGGGCAATCCTATCCCCTCCCTCCAGGGCCGTCAAGTGAGATCAACGCGGTGTCTGACACAGCGCGCGTGTTTTAAGACATGGGGACGCTCATTCCGGAGGGACTCCGAAGTCCTCCCCTCACCTGAACCACACAAGCACATCGGAGCTCGGGGTTCGGACGTCACCTTGCTCGAGACTTCTTTGCCTCACTTCCCATGGAACAAAGGCTGGAGCTAGAAAGGGTTACTAGGACCTCCAGCCATCAGATGCCAGCCTGCTGATAATTCTGCTTCAAAAAGCAGCGAAGACAAAAGCAAATGTTCTGAGAGGCCGTATTAAGGAACTCTGAACAAAGGAGGCGATGGTCCTGCCTGGGCGCTGGCCTGACAAGTCTCTGCCTGCCTCTGAGGAAACGGAACAGGTTCAGAAGCAAGGGGGTGTGTGGAGGAGGTCCCAGCGTCGGCTCCCTGAGAGCATCCGTGGTGACTGCGAGGACGGTGTACAGGAAGGGAGTGGCAGAGGTGGCCAACACATTCCCTATCCCCGACAGAAACCACGGGGTGGCCTGTGTGCCTGCCCGCCACTTCCGGCCCCCTGTTGGCAGGCTCCCCCCCGCTGCCGTCTTCCTATCCACACTCCTCTCTTGTTTTCCTCTTTCCTGCACTGTCTTCCTACTCTCACTTTCATCTTTCCTTCTCATTCTATCCTTCCTGGTCCCTCTCGCTTCTTGCTTCTGTCTCTTCTCTGCCTCCTGTCACTTCTCCCAGAAGTGTGCAATCCTGGGTCACAGAAGGGTCCCGGCTATAGGATCCATTAGATGATTCAGGCAGCTGGACAGCAAGCAGAGAGGAGAGGAGCGGGGAGGACAAGGCCTCCTTAGCGAGTCTCTTACACACACGTGTGCACACCCCATGGAACCTCCTGGCACCAATGGGCACCCCTGAACTGCATAGTATAACTGCCACTCTGCAGAGGAAGCGTAACTGCTAATGTGCTGCCTCCCGGTGCCCGAGAGGCTGGCAGCTGGGCCCGGGTATGGGGGGCAGCATGGAGCCAGGCAGGCTTCTGTGTTGCAGAGAGAATGAGCAATGATTGCATCAGGGGGATTTGTTCCTGCCAGACTCACTGCTCCCCAGGGCCATGGCAGTCATGAGAGCCAGCACGTGTGCCCCTATCTGCAGCATGTGCCTGGTACAACAGGAGCAGGCCTGCATGCCGTGGGCTGGTGGCCAGAGCCGGAAGCCCTGCAGGTTGCTGGGCATGGCCTTGGCATGTCACAATAGGGATGGGCACAGGCAATGCCCCATGTCAATGAGGGGGACAGAAGGAGACCAGGGCTGAGTTCCCAGGTGGGGATCAGAGCCCCGGGGACCCGGTGACAACAAACTCAAACCCCACACAGCCCTCCATGCGATCACACACACATGCCTGTGTTGCAAGGGCCTACAGGGCCTGAGGAGGAGCCATAGAAAACGTGTAGTCAGTGGGGTCCCCATGGGGCCTGTCCCACTAAAGGCAGCAAGACAGGGGGCAGAACCAATGGAAAGTGGGCCAGTAGAGATAAGATCTTGCTGAGGGTCTGGGTGGAAGGTGATTGGTTTAATTCACTGCAGTCAACAATGGCAGGTCTAAAGACAGCAGGAAGGGAAGTCAGGGGTTAGGGAGCAGCGCTGTTCCCAGAGGTGTCACACAAGGGACCTTCCTTGCAGAGGAAAATGAAGCAGAGAGCCACAGGACAGAGGACAGTGGCTGTTGAGCTAAAGGGTGGGCAGCACAACCTCCAAGAGTTACCTGAGTTCCAATCCTAGAAGAGCTGCCTGCAGGCCTTTTCCCCAGGGGCCTCCACTTCCTCTGGGAAGGATGGGGACAAGCTATTCATTCAGTGATTCCAAGGACATGAAAAGTAGTCACACCCATCTCAGACCAGGCCTTGTGCTGGGCATTCTACACATTGCAATATGTACACCTTTCTGCAAACTCCAGGCAGATCGGTACAATCACGCAGATTATACAGAGATGTGAAGCTACTATCCACCCAAGGCTGTGCTACTGAGGCTCCAATCCAGGTCTGCAAGACTTCAGTGCCCTTGATTTGAGTTATTAAGTCTCCACTAGGGCTGGAAGGTCCTTGAGAGGGCACACGCTTCTTACAAATGGGGGGCTAAACCCCAAGCTGCAACAGGGGCAGTTAGGATAACAGTCCAGAATTCCTGGCTCCCAGAACATGCTCCTTCCCTTACCCTGCATTGCCCTCTCTCTTCCTGCCAGTGAGTAGTACTGACCTATGTCCCCAGGTAGCCAGCAAGCATCTGGCAAAAAGAAGAAATGTTTCTAAGGGCCAGGTAGGTGTGGGCTCTCAACTGGCTTCTGAGGGATTGGTCATCAGGACAGGACACCACAGTAAAGGCCCAGCTTGGATGGGCTGCCACCTGGCTCCAACCTGCTGATTAACAGATCTGCTGCCACCCGGTCCAGCCAAGGGAGAGACAGGACCTCAGCAGGCCTTATTGGGCTCCAGTCCCCTGGGTCTATGACTCAAGGAGCCAGAGCTGCCTCTGGCTGCCCTCCCTCCCAACTCCACCCAACACACAGAGGCTGGGGTGGTTGAGAAGCTGCCCAGCAGTGCCAATGTGGGGAATGGCACAAAGTGGGAGCCTAAGTACCTTGGCTGAAGTGGGGCTCTGGGGGATACAGGAGGCAAGAAGAGCCAAGAGTAGGCATGCTGATTGCTGGACAGAGCAGAAAACAGAGCAGGTGGAGCCTCCCAGAGAATGACCCTGCACCAAACTAAGGCCCAGACAAGCCACCATTTCTGCCTTGACCAGGCTGCAGGCAGCAGCTTGCGTGGGGCTGGTTTTGGGGTTGAGCAGAACTCTGAATTAGGTGAGCTCTGAACAGGGTTGGAATCTGGACAGAGATACGGGGCACGCCTCCTTCTCCAGAGGCACCAGGGGCCTTGTCCTCAGCTTGTCTCTAGGCTCTGGGGCCAGGATGGCTGCAGGGACTGGGCCTTGGTACCCAGGGGCTGGCAGGGCTCCAGAAATGGAAGTGGGACTAAGGCTGGAGGTTGGGCTCGCTTTGGGCAGGGCCAGCTCAGCAGGTGCCCATGTACACTGGTGGAGAGCATGGCTCCATACCTCTGGGAAGGCCCAGCACACACAGCTGGAAGAAGCATCCAGTACAGCTGGAGCATCCTGAGTAGTGGGCCGTCCTGGACAGCCCACCCCCTGGTGCACACCTGGCCCAGGAACCCAACCTAATGGGAGATCCTCTGGAGCCTCTTCCTCAGCAGGCGAAAACTCTGTAGTCACTGACATCAAAAGCCTCCGCAGTCCTGGCCACTGCCCCTCCACCCCCGGCTGGGCCTCACCATCATGGAAGCAGGGAAAAGGTCCAGTGGGGAAGGCGCAGGCAGCAAAGAGAAGAGGGCCAGGAGGAAGGGCCTAGGACACAATGGTCACTTCCACCCTGCAGCCCCAGGCCACAGTCTCACTCCTGGACTGTCACCGCAGTTGGGATGCAGCTCTAACCAACTTGGGCCCCCCACAGCGCTGCACCCACCCCACCCCACCCATCCTGCTCATCCACAAGCTGACGAGTCCTAACAGGGCCTCCTTTGCCAGTGACAAAAATAACTATTTTCAAAATTCACAGCAGGGCTTTCGCCTACACACACTGCGCCGACTGGAACCTGAAGGGAGATGTGCAGAACGCAGTGTGCGGATGGAGACGCTAGGCAGCAAGCACGCTTTGCAACCTCCACCCCCATCCTCCCCACCACTTAGCCTATGCATCCCCAGACGCCCAAGACGACCAAGTGGAAAGGCCCTGAGATCATCTACTGTCCAGGAGGGGGACGCTGAGGCCCAGAGAAGGTCAAGGGTTTGCTGGAGGTCCCACAACGAATTTGTTGCGGGGCTCTCGTACCTTCTGTCTCCTGGCCAGGCTGCTTACCTGTTCTACCATCCTCTTACCTATCCAAGAGCTCACACCCACCCCCAGGACGCACACGTGCGCACGCACACACACACACACACACACACACACACACGGATGTGTTCACAGACAGTGCTGCACCACTTGCTTCTGTGTAAGGGCATTTAATCAAGTTCATAGGCTCCTTCACCACTGTTAGGTTGGCCAGTCTTCTGCAGCCTGTGAGGTAGGGAGAGACAGGACAGTGAGACCTGGAGAGGAAGAACTGTGCTTCAGGTCAAAGGAGATGAGTGGTTCAGGGGCTCTTTTTACAGGGGCTGTTTCTACTGCCCTTGATTCTGCAGCAGCTGAGAGCCCAGCCAATGTCTCTGGGTGCTGGGGGCAGAAAGAACTTTCCACTATGGCCCCAGTACATCGGGCCAGGATTGGCCTAGGCCATATGAAGGCCTCCCAACATGGCCCTCCTCACCCTCAGCTCTTAAAAAGAGCAGCCAGCTCAGCTCACCGTGTTCCAGTTAGGGTCCAGCTGGGAGCTGCCTCCATGTGGTCTCCCTCACCCAGGCAGCAATAGAGACCAGGATGATGGGAAAGGCCTTGTGTAACTGTGAGGCAGCAAGGTCGGCCAGTACCCCACCATGACCCCAGGGACCGAGTGCACTCCACAGTCATGAAGTCATTCGAGCCTGTTTTACAGATGAGGAAACTGAGGCTGGAAGTTCACGTGGGCCATCTGAGGTCTCAGCACAGGTCAGTGAAGAGGCAGGACTAGAACCCAGGCATCCCAGTCTGGTTTACTCCCAGGCCGCAGCAAGGTTTCCACCCTGTCCTCCTGAGGGGCTCTACCCGCTCCATTTCCCTGCAGATGGAGCCTCGACCTCAGGCTTCTGCCTGAGAGGAAAGAGGACCAGGCTGCAGTGGGGAAATATATCTAGGTGACCAAGATCCTGCCACCCCACCCATCAGATCCTGTGGGACATCAGCCTCGTGTTGAGTTTACGGAAAAAAGACTGGAGCTTGCAAATCTTGCACTTTTTCTTGTGGCGACCCCGGGAGAAGCTCCGAGCCCTGCTTTCCTCCTCCTCCTCCTCCTCTTTCTCTTCTTCCTCTTCACTGGCCCAGGGCCCCCAAGCGCCTCCATTAAAGTCAGGATGAGCCCGAGGATTTTCGGCTGGGTAGCGCACAGGAATGGCAGTGCGGTTATAGTCGGCCAAGCGGGCCAGCAGGGCTCGGACCACGTCAGGTCGCTGGCCAGCCAGGTCTTCCCGCTCATAAGGATCAGCGCTGATGTTGAAGAGCCACACGGCCTGGCGGACACTGGCCATCCGCTCCAGGTTCCACCAGCTGCCAGGGAAGGCAGCCAGGGTCTGCGGCGGAATCCAGTCACCATAGCCAGGGTCTCCGGTCAGCAGCTTCCACTCGCCCACGCGGATGGCAGCCTGCACCGCGGTATTCCAGATGCCAAAGCCACCCTCCAGGGAGCCGTGCCGAGCGTGGTTGTAGAGCGGGTCAATGTTGTGTAGGATCTCCGTGCGCGGCGAGGCCCGGCCTTCACTGATAGCCGGCCACACGTCGTAGCCATCCAGCCCATCAGCTGCTGACACGGTGCCACCTGCCAGGCCCACGAGGGTTGGGTACCAGTCAGTGATATGGACCAGTGCATGGCTGGTCCGTCGCTTTCGCTTGAGCAAAGGGCTGTGGATGAAGCCCAGGCCCCGCACACCTCCCTCCCAGTAAGTGCCTTTGCGTCCTCGGAGGGGCCAGTTGCTGCCTCCTGAGAAAGTCTGGCCACCATTGTCACTGGAGAAGATGATGATACTGTTGTTGTAGAAGCCGTAGCGCTTGAGGGCCCAGGTGATGTTGCGCACAGCCTCGTCCATGCAGGTCACCATGGCTGCGTACTTCCTCCGGGACACGTTGCTCATGGTGCGGTAGCGGTATAGATACTCTCGAGGGGACTGCAGGGGTGTGTGCACAGCCTGAAAGGCCACATAGAGGAAGAGGGGCCGCTGGGGGCTGTGGCTGGCCAGGATGTGGCTGGCGCGCTGGGCATAGAGCACGGTGGAGTACTGGCCGCTGAGCCCCCAGGCCACACTCTCACCCTCGTGCAGGTCAAAGCCACACACTCCCGGGCCATCGCAGTTGTCGTAGGTATAGTAATCCACATTGCCTGTGAGGGAGCCCAGGAAGGTGTCAAATCCCCGACGGGTGGGCAGGCACTCTTTCCGGTAAAAGCCCAGATGCCACTTGCCCACCATGTGGGTGGAGTAACCCGCCTCCTGCAGTTTCTGGGGCAGGGTCACCTGGTCCAGGGGCAGGCAGTTGGGCTGCCGAGGACGGATGATGGAGTGCTGGAGCCCTGTGTGGATCTGGTACCTGGTGGCAGGGGGAGAAGAATGCACAGGTGAGCTACACCACTGATCCCACCAACCATCCCAACACCACCTCAAGTACAACCAGCAAAAACGGCAACAACTACGTATTACCTAAGGGACTGAGAACCTCAAATGCATTGTCTCATTGAGTCCTCAAAATCAACTGAAGGAAGTTGATTACTGTCAATGTACAGATGATTCTGAAGCTCAGAATGGTTACACCAATTGCCCAGCTAGGAAGCTGGGGAATTAAGAGTTGAACCTAGGTTAATAATGACGGGACTAATAGCTAACACCAAGTACTCCCTGCTGGCTTGACATCATGCTAAGCCCTCTGAATTATCCTACTAAATCCTCACCACAAATGAGGAGGTGTGTGCAATTATTCCCATTTCCCAAATAAAGAAACTAAGGCTCAGCAAATTAAATTGCTTGTCTGGTGATTCTCGGAGCAAGTAGTTGGAATGGCATTTGTATCCCAGGCAATCCAGCTCCAAACTTGAGAGTCCCTGCACTTTCTAAGCCACTAACTTGCCATGAAGTCTACAGCCAAGTCCTGCTCTCCCAGGCAGACTCCTACTCACTATTGCAAGCCCAGCTCCAATATTAACCAGACGATAACGTCTCTCACAGCTCTCCCAAAGACTGAGTCAGTTCCGCTTTCATGTTCCCCAGTACTCAGGACACACACTCATGGCCATGGGATCATAGTCAGTTGTCCATACTCTTGGGCCCAGTGATATGTGATATGAAACTGTCCTTTATTCAACTCTGTATTCTTCTTACCCTCAGGGTGTTTGTTTGTTTGTTTGTTGTTTTTGTTTTCGGTACCAGGGATCAAACTCAGAACCTTACATTTGCAAAGCAGGCACAGTGCCACTGAGTTAAATTCATGGCCCGCCCTGTTTTTTTGTTTTTGAGCTTTCTGTTTCGGTACTGGGGATTGAACTCAGGACCTTGGGCTTGCCAGGCAGGTGCAGCACCACTGAGCTAAATCCCCGGTCCCCACCCTCAGTTTTTTAAAGCACACTCATTTATGGAATGAATGAATGAACAAAGGAAAGAATGAATGAATGACACTCAGAGGGTTTTAGAGGCAGGAGAATCCAACTCCTCCCCTGGTTTATTCACCTACTCTTTAAAAGAAACTAAGGTCAGAGGAAAGGGAGGGCCTCGCCCAAGGTGGTCAGGGGCAAAGCCGAGATTCAACATAAAGCCAAGGAGAGTTCACGCGGGAACTTTTTTTTTCAGCAAACTAGGCTGTCACCTCCCTTCCCTCATGGGGGCTTCAGCCTGCTCACGTGTACGAGGAGACTTGCCAGAGAGGGAAATCTTTATGACCCATCTAGTTCCCAAATTTAGGAGAGCAGCTCCTGTGTGCCTGCTTCTGAGCTCATGCGGCCCCCCTGATCCAGGTCACTCACAAAGGCTAAGGCTCTGAGGCAGAAGGAAACGGTTAGCAGAATCCTGAATTCCTCATTTATTCACTTACACCCCTATCTTTCTCCTTCTGTGGTCAAAACCAACATGTGATCTGCTTTATGGAGTCTGGTGGGTTTTTTTGTTTTGTTTTGTTTTGTTTTGTTTTTGAGACAGTCTCACTATATAGTTCAAGCTAGCCTTGAACTCGCTACAATCTTCCTGCTCCAACCTCCTAAGTGTTGGGATCATAGGCCTGCACCACCACACCCCCACCTTGCTGATGATGTCTTGCAAGTTCTAGAGTAAACAAGCCTGGAACCTCACAAGCATGTTAGAATCCCACACCATTTTCTCACTCCCAGGCACCCAAGTTAGCCAAGACCTAAGTTCTTGACGCTTTGGTAGGTGAGGGGTAGTTTCTGTTTTGATTTATTTTAAAGCTGCTATTACTGTTAGCTATAATTAACTACTACTGCCATTTTTAACACCATGTGACATATACATACATTATCTCATTTAATCCTCATTTTAAACATCTATAAAGGAGACTATTATTACTCCCATTCTACAGATGTTGAAACAGAGACTCCCAAAAGTACAGCAACTGCCCAAGATCAGAAAGCTGGCAAGCAGCAGTACTGAGCTCTCACCCCCTGGCTACCCAGTTCATGCTCAAAATCTGATGAAACAGCCCCTCCAGGCCTCAGTTGAGCTGATGAAATGACCAGACTGGATAGAAGCACCCTAGGGCCCTAGGGCCCTGATTTTCTGCTGAGCTGCTCTTCATAAAGCTAGGGTGTCTCAGAACACTGGCTTGTAATGTGGGTGGGCCGGCCAGAGCCGTCGAAGCCTGTTGCATGCAAGTAATATGAGAAACTGTGGCCCTCTCTGGCTCCCCCAAACAGGACTGGATGCATTTACAAATTCGAACAAGCACCAAGCACCCAGTGTGAGCATGGGGCAGAAGCAGCCAGCTGCAGAGGGCGGAGGACAGACGCCGCCTGCCAGGCTCAGCTAACTTCATGGATCAGGAGCCTGGAGCGCTGCCCTGTTGGCAGCTTGTTCCACTGCTTAAACCAGAAGTTCCCCTACTTAGGGAGAGAAAAGTTAACTTGTGCAAAACTGTGGTATGCAGATTCCTTCTCCCTCTTAAGGAAATCGAGGTCCCATCTTCACCACCACGACCACACCCCAACCTGTAAGATACACACCAAGTTTCTCCTTCTCCTGTCCTCTCTTCTCTGCCCCTGGATCGAAACCCAAAGTACTGCATCAAAGGAAGAAAGGGCACAGCCACTGGATTCTCAGCTCCAGGGCTCCTGCTGAGCACCCCCAGGCACCAGGCTGGGCCCTTCCTGGTGTCGTACCTCAGTTTCTCCTGCCCAGGGGATGGGGGACTACAGCTCGGGGTAGAATGAGGGCAAAATCATGCCTTGGCTCCCTCTCAAGGAGGATTAGCTTCAGCCCTGCCAAAGGATTTTCTCCCAAGTGGCCAGAGCTTGCCGTCCACACCCCCACCTCCTGCTTCCCTGCTCTTTAAACCTCATAATTCTGCTCCCGCTGGAGATGTCTCCTTGCAGAGAAAGAAGCACATCTTCTTGGAGCTCCCTGCCAACCCGGGAGGATTTTGCAAATGAAAAAACAGAGATTCGAAGAGTGAAGTAACCAGCCCATCGTGGCATCCTCTGTGTGTCTTTTATTCCACACTCTACTCCCTTTCACCTGTTCTTTGCCCATTTTATGGACAAGAAAACCGAGCTATAAAAAAAGTATGGAGGCCCAGGGTCTGTTAATAGAAACAGCATTCAGAATAAATGTCACAGGTTGCCAGGCTGCCCTAACAACAGGATGACCAGACAGCTCTGCATAAGGTGCATGTCCTAGAACACCAGGGAGACCGTGAGATGATCAAACCCATTCAGGATAATGGTGGGGAAGCTGGTGCCCAAAGAAGGCACAGGACCTCCAATGATTGCTCAGCTAGATGGAAGGAAAAGAAGCCCATAAAACGGGCTTCCTTGGTCCTGGCCTGGGGTTGATCTGGCAGAAGAATCCGACTGGTGTATTGGGGGCTCGGACACCCAGGCAGAAGGGTCCGGCCGCACCTACCTTCCAGTGAGGAGCTGGCTCCGAGAAGGCGTGCAGATGGGCTGGATATAGTAATTCTCCAACTTGACGCCCTCTGCTGCCAGCCGGTCCAGCGTAGGGGTCTCAATATCCGAGCCATGGTAGCCCACGTCGTGGTAGCCCTGGTCGTCGGTGAGGATGAAGATGATGTGGGGAGGCTGGGGCGGAGCGGCCGACGGTTGTTCCACTCGGTCCTCCCCGAACCCGTCAGCCACGAGGCTCGGCTTGGCCCAGTCCCAGGACAGGTAGCCGAAGCTGAGCAGGCTGACCAGAGAAAAGCCCGTGAGGGCGTGCATCGCCAAGCCGGCCCGCGCG